CCTCACCACAAAAAACAAAAGAAAATCAAGAGAGATTTCAATTATGGTCCAAGGCAGATTCCTAATACAAGCTCGATGCCCCTAACTCATCCTGTGGGTATGATCTTGGACTATGCCGAGCGTACGGGTCTCATGCAAGGACCGAGGCCGGAGGGTGAAGTGTACACTGTCTATGGTGCTAAAAAGTATTGCCGCTATCACCGGGTTGATAATCACGACACGGAGGAGTGCTTTACCTTGAAACGCGAGATTAAAAGACTGATCCAAAGGGGCCATCTGAGTAACTTCGTCAAAGGGGCTGCACAGCAGCCCAACCATGTATGGCGGAAGTCCTCAGAACAAGTGGCGTGCATGCAGCAGGAGACCCGAAGGGCAGAGAAAAGACACATCGGAAATGAGAGTGACGAGGACGCCTCAGATGAGCCAGGGCCGAAGCGAGACAAGAGGCACCATGACATCAATTTCATTTATGGAGGTAATGCAGGCGGGGACTCTTCGTCCCTTCGAAAGAAATGGGTTCGTCAACTGTACATTGGTGAGATCATGCACTCTCCATTGAAAAAGAAGGTACGACGCGAACCTATATGTTTTACTGATGATGACCTACCACCATGTCCAAGCCCACATCGGGATGCCATGGTTATCAAAATGGAGATCAATGATCTTGTCATACACTGTACCCTGGTCGACACGGGAAGTTCCGTGAACATAATGTACCTCGACACTTTCGATAAACTGAAGTTGTCCAAAGGAAAACTCCATCCGATAAAAACCCCGTTGTCTGGATTCACGGGTGACTCTATCGAGGCAGAAGGAGTCGTCACAGTCCCGGTGGAGGTAGGGGACACATCCCATAAAGTGAAACTCAACATGGAGTTCGTAGTCGTCCGACTGACATGTGCACATAATCTTATACTCGGACGACCGGGGCTGGAAGATTTGCAGTGCATTGTGTCCCCGACACATCTTTGTATTAAGTTCCCAACACCAACTGGAGTGGGGATAGCACGTGGGAGCCAGAAGCTCGCCCGAACATGCTACGTAAAAATCACAAAGAAGGTGGGGCGGCATGGCCACCAGGTAAACACCGTCGCCACACGATACCTACAAGATGAAGAGCGAAGACCTCGTGCTGAACCGGCAGAAGGGACGGAAGAGGTCACCCTTGACCCTGCAACCCCAGAGCGCAAGGTTAAGATAGGCACCGGATTGTCAGCTGAGCTCCGCGCTGAGGTCATAACCGTCCTGACTATGTACGAAGGCATATTTGCAAGAGGGCCAAAGGACATGCCGGGCATCAGTAGAGATGTCATCTCTCATCGCCTAGACGTGGACGCTATGTCAAAACCGGTGAAACAAAAGAAACGTTACATGTCCTTGGACAGGCGGGAGTTCGTGAGGAAAGAAGTGGGCACCTTGTTAAAAATCGGCCACATCAAGGAGGTAAAATACCCAGAATGGTTGGCAAATGTGGTATTGGCACCTAAACCCCCAACGTGGAGGATGTGTGTTGATTACACTGACCTAAACAAGGCATGCCTGATGGATCCATTCCCATTGCTTAACATCGACCAATTGGTGGACGAGACAGCGGGGTGCGAATTGATGAGTTTCATGGATGCTTTTAGTGGATACCACCAAGTTCGCATGCATGAGGAGGATGCAGAGAAGACCTCATTCATGACTCCAGAGGGTGTTTTCTGTTACTTAGTCATGGCGTTTGGACTAGAAAACTCCGGGGCAATGTACACTCGCATGATCTCTAAGCTTTTTCGACCTGTCCTAGGCCGCACCATGGAGGCCTACGTGGATGATATGATTGTGAAGAGTAAAAGAGCAGGTACGCATGCCGTGGATTTGGCAGAGGTGTTCAAAATCATGGAGAAGTTCAATCTTCGTCTCAATCCAAAGAAGTGCACGTTCGCCGTACAAGGAGGGAAGTTCTTGGGTTACTTGGTGAGTAGAAGAGGAATCGAGCCAAATCCAGAGAAAGTCAAGGCCATACTCGAAATGGAACCTACTCGTAATGTCAAAGAAGTGCAACGATTGACGGGACGCTTAGCGGCTTTGAACCGCTTCTTATCAAAACTAGCGGAGAAAGCCACGCCATTCTTCCACATCATGAAGAAATCAAAGGGTTTCGTATGGACTGAGGAGTGTCAAAAGTCATTCGAGGGATTGAAAAACTACCTCTTGTCTCCTCCAGTGTTATCCAAACCTGAAGCGGGGGAGACACTATACCTATACCTAGGGGTTTCACAAGTGCAATTAGTTCTGTCCTGCTGCGTGAAGATGGTGGCGTCCAAAGACCCGTTTACTATGTAAGAAAAACTTTGAGGGACGCTGAGCTACGGTACACAACCATATAAAAAATTGTTCTATCCGTGGTGTGGTCGGTCAAACGGCTCACGCAATACTTCCAAGCTCACCCTGTCCATGTACTGTCACACCAACCCCTGGGTGCCTTAATGAGGAGTCCCACGGCTTCCTCGAGGATGGTCAAATGGGCAGTGTATCTAAGTCAATTTCATATAGAGGTGTAGCCAAGACCCTCCATCAAGGGGCAAGCTCTTGCAGATTTCATAGTAGAATGCACAGCGCGGGAGGAAGCAACGAAGATGAAGCATGGCGACGATGAACAAGAGTGGTGGATACTGTCCACAGATGGCTCCTCCGCGGCTAAATCTTGCGGGGGAGGGGTGGTCCTCACCACGCCCGAAGGCTTCAGGGCCTATTACGCTATCCGGTTCAACTTCAAGGTGTCGAATAATGAGGCAGAGTACGAGGCTCTACTATGTGGTCTACGCTTGGCGGCGAACATGAGGGCAGAGAAGGTCAAGATACGGTGTGATTCAAAACTAGTGGTTGGACAGATCACGACTGAGTTTGAGGTGAAGGAAGAACGGATGCGGCTATATCGTGACGCTGCCCTGGAACTTCTGAATTTGTTCATCGCCTATGAAATTGAACAGATACCAAGAGCCCAAAATGTCGAAGCAGACATGTTATCCAAACTAAGTGCAGAGACACCGGAAAGGATTTCAAAGATTGCGAGGATAGAAGAGTTGGACACTTCTAACATATATGCATGCCCTGTCCAGGCCATAACCACGAGGGACGCGGACTGGATTGACTGCCTCATCAATTATATCAACGAGGGAGTGCTGCTCGCGGAGGAGGTCGAAGCCAAGGTGACTAAGATGAGGGCGCCGAGTTATACCATTTTGAATAAGTAACTGTACAAGAGGTCTTACAATGGCACGCTTCTCAAGTGCTTACGACCAGATGAAGCCAAGGTTGCCATGGAAGAGATACATGCAGGGATATGCTCAGCTCGATCACCAAGGAGCACACACCATGTCCCGAAAGGTAATCAATCCTACAAGGTTTCTTCTGGCCAACCATAGTTAAGGATTGCGCTGAATTTGTCAAGAGGTGTGTGGTGTGTCAAGAGTTCCAGAAATCTCTGGGACGTCCAGCCACCAACTACACCCCCATCAGCACAGCTATACCTTTCGCAAGGTGGGGAATAGATCTCATTGGTGCCTTACCAAGGGGAACAGGGAGTGTGAGATTGGTTATCATTGCCATAGACTATTTTACTAAATGGATAGAAGCAGTACCCCTGGCAAACATCACTGAAGGACAATGCAGGAAATTTGTCATGAAGCACATCCTTTGTCGCTTTGGAATACCCCAACAGATCATAACCGATAATGGGAGGCAATTCGGAGCATCCGGGTTTAACGAATTCTGTGAGAGTTGGGGGATCAAACACAGCAATGCGTCAGTTGCCTACCCCCAAGCGAATGGTCAAGTGGAGAATGTGAACCGCACGATCATGGACGGTTTGAAGAAAAAGCTAGAGGCCGCCGGAGGGGAGTGGGCTGAAGAACTACCATAGATACTCTGGGCATACAGGACCACGCCAAGAAAGGCCACAGGCGAGACACCATTCGCCTTGACATATGGTTTTGAGGTGAGGGTGCCAGCAGAAGTAATTCTCCATAGCTGCCGAGAAGAAGAATATGACCCCGAGACGAACGAGGAGGTCATGGCGACTAAGCTTCTTTTTGTTGAAGAAAGAAGAGAAGCGGCTTTCTGCAGTGCGGAGAACTATAGAAGACAGGTGAAGGGATACCATGATTCTCGAGTTCGCAAACGCAACTTTGAAGTTGGGGACTATGTCTTGAGAAAAAGGGAGGTCAGCAAACCCTTGGAAGGGGGGAAATTTGCCAAAAATTATGAAGGCCCTTACGTGATTAAATCAGTGATCCGTCCAAGGACACCGTGGGTGTCAAACTCACCCAAAACAAAAACAAATTACAAGGTGTTATCCAAGGACACCGTGGGTGTAAAACTCACCCCAAAACAAACACAAATTACAAGGTGTCATCCAAGGACACTGTGGGTGTAAAACTCACCCAAAACAAAAAAAAAAAAGAATTAAAAACTAGTAAGTAGCCAGGCATGTCTCCTATGACATAGCTAAAATTCTCAACACGCAAGGGGTATAGACTTGCCCCTAGAAAGGGGATGATGATACATCGCAAATCGATCCCAACAAATGCGTAACCCTCATGGTTGTATGGTCAGGATGCATCTGTGAAATTTATCGGATAGCGGCCATGTTTCCCAAAAACTTTGTGTGCCCCAGAGCAAGCCTAGGTCACTCAAGTGTTAGGTTCGCTCACTTAGTCCTACTTTTCAGGGCTAAGTGATGCGCGCAATGTAGCGAAGGAGGAGGTGTCAACGACACCTTGTGCCTATCGTTGTCCTTAATCACTCTATTCAAAATACACAATGCCTCAATTCAAAATTAGGCAGATACGGGGCGATAAATGCACCAAAGTTATACACTTGGTGTAGTATCACCGTATACTACTATAAGTGATCATGCAAACCATGCCAAACAAGGCATGGTCACAGCGTGGTCTCAAAAAACCAAAATAGTGGTCAAATAATTAATTATGATATAATATTAAACAATAACGAAAGGAAAATAAAACATGCATCATTATTATTTTATGAAATTCAAAACATGTTTAGCAGTTCAGGTACTCATAATGGAAGACATGATGGAATTAAAGTCTGCACTACGTCCATCCGTCACTCCCATGCATGCTCTAAGGCACAGAAGCGGTCGAAGATGTGTGATCTGTCTCGGAAGGGGGACCGCCAAGCTCCTCATCAGTGGGGAGTTTGTCAAAAGGAATGTAGTCCAGGGGCGTGTTGGCTACCGGGATCTCAGGGTTATGAACCTCGAGAGGAAGTCCCCAATCAGTGATGCAAGAGGTACCAGCCTTATCCCTCAAGATAGGATATATTTTCTGTTGAGTGGCATATATCCCGATCTGGTAGGAGATGTAGCTCTCTAAGGCCAGTTTCTCACGGCCATCCGGAGTAGACAACCAATGCTTGCTAATATCGTTCAAGTGGGCATTAATGTAAGCTTCGTGATCAGACACGAACTCTGGAGAATTCTTGTATGCATCCACGGCCCGCCCCCCTTGCATTGGTCAACTCCACGGCGTGTATTTCTTTAAGCGCAGCGACCTCGGCTGCATGTGACTTGTGAGTCAAGACTGAGCTTGAGCGAGGCCACCTCTTTCGCTAATCCGGTGAGTTGTAGCGACAACTCTTGCTCGCGCTCATCTTTCCTTCGGTTCACCTCGGAGATGGACAACAGTAGCTGCAAAAAAATGTCACTAAAATTAATAATCCCAAGGTGTATAGCCGAGGCAGCTATGGTCAAAGCAAATTTAATACTCCTACATAGTGATAAACTCCAAAGGAGCCACGGTCAAAGCAGGAAGTCAAAATACAAGCATCTAATAAAACTAAAAGAAAAGAAAGAGAAGGCAAGGAGCGTACCTATCCCTGCGTATCCTTGCAAGCGGAGGCGGCTGAATTGGAAATCTTGGATCCACACCCAGGGAAGAACGGCAACGGCACAGGCAGTAGACGGCAGTGGCGAGCGATCCCTGATATCACCAAAGTGCTCTGGGGTCCGGCAACGGAAGCCCGACGTCCAACGACGGAAGTACTCCTCACCCAGAAACACTTGCGGCCTAGACTACACAGGGGCGGCGACTAAGACAAAGCAACGGAGAAGATGAGCCGCGAACTGAAATAAGGACAACTAGCGACGGTTCTGGGTTTAGTTACAGAGGTTCAAGGTCGCTGCGGCGGTGGAGTTGGAATGTCTCTCTTGCTCGCGGCGGCCGGTGAAAGCTGATGAAGGGCGATGGCGGACGGGAACCTTAGGTGGGCTGGTTGGTTGCGTGAATGGACGCTGGCGGTCGGCGGAGAGCAGTGGTTTGGTTGCCGGCGAACTGCGACCTAGGCAGTACAACTATGGTGGTGCCGACCCTCACCAACGAAGCTGCCAGGAAGAAGCTAAATTTGAGAATATAAAATACACATTTTGGTTACAAATAAAAAATAAAAATCTGAATGATTGAATGGGTAAAAACAAAAACAAAGATTGACATGGTGACTGTGTACTCCTATAGCCACGGCAACTGTGTCGCTATACTCCCTATAGCCAATATGTTATTTGGCTAAAGAAGTGGGGGGCTTGTGATGGTATTATTATCCTAACCATGGATAAATATTGACCGGGTTAACATAGATGAAAACAGGTTAACGGTTGATGTGCAAGGTAACTATGTACGGATGATGATAAGGTATAAGGGGAGCTCATACGTGGTGACCACGCACGGGTTAGAAGATAAGAGATTGTGCATGGCGACTGTGGACAAGAATTAGTAGAAGAATAGGGAGTACGGAGTAACCGTGGATGTCATGGCAAGCTTATCCAAAGAGCATATCCACAGCAACCATGGACGCAAGTAGAAGACCAGAGTGCTCTATAGCCTTGGATGCCATGACGAGCTTATATAAAGAAATGTCCACGACGACCCTGGACATAGTAGTAGAAGCTTATCCAAATAACATATACATGGTGTCTCTGGACATCATGGCAAAAGCTACATGGCGACTCCGTACGACAAACTACATCAACGACGTCTTTTCAAGATATTCACACAATCAACAAAGGATTCCGCGGATCCGGATTATTGATTTGCATATCAATTCGAACATGGCGACCACGTCGCCCGAATCTTTTATGTCTTATTTTCTACTATAAAATCATGTAATCTTTGGAAAGTTAATCAAGCTAAATACACTGAATACACTACATACATTTATCTCTCTAAAGATTATCCTGAGCAATTTAATTATTTTCGGCTATCTCTTATTAATTATTTTCCGGTGGATTTACTTCCATCAATATTTGAGACATGTTAATAAGTTACGGAGTATTATTTGAGAATCACCATGTATATATGATATATCACATATTTTAGAATAATACTATGTATATATAGCTTCTTATTGGGTCACATTTTAAAATGACTCCAAGTGACCCGTATGTAACTGAGTAGAATAACTGCATTGATTGATTCAGAGGATTAGCTTGTGATTTTTGAGCGAATAGCACAATACAGAGCGGGTATGGCTATTCGTTTTACTTGAAAAATTATGTTTGCAAAATGATCAGCTACGTACGTACTATCTTGACTTAATATCTTAGTAACAAATTAAATCAAGAGAAAGAAGATATATCAAGATAAGCATTGAAGTATCTTATAGCTAGAAAATAGTTTTGAAAGAAATGTTGCTGGTAACATTTTTTCATAACTTCTTGTAAGATCAATTGATCTCATAAGTCAAAAACACTTACGGGTCGGCGTGGGCAATTGCCTAGGCCCAGCTTTTGAGCGGCCTATATTTTTATACATTTAAAAAAAATATAAGTGGTGTTACTACTTCCACCGTAGTAACAATAGGACAAGAAAGAATGACACGTAAACTAATAAAAAATTGTTTATGTGATTGATATTGAATTAATTGATAAAGAATGATTTAGAGTTACATAAACTTTACCAAATTTGAAACAATCTTAATGAGACAGACTGAAAAGGTAAAATGAGACAATCTTAACCACTTGTTTATAACGATTTACTTTACATATATATTAATATTGTCTATATCTTTGTTCGGAAACGTGTCTCTCATGGATATCTTGATGTAAAATATGTTCCAACTTGTTGAAGCCCCACACCGGAAAATTATAGAGTAATAAAACGTTATATTAAGATTTGAGTTACTCTTTGAGTAGCTCAGATCTTAACACAACTAAACTTCATATTGCAGATAGTTTTACTGAAATTCTTTATTTTAGCATTTTGATTTTTATGCAGCGATGTGCGCATAAATCTTCCTGCATAGGTTGAGAATTTAATGTTTTAAATTAAAAAAAAAGGTTGAGAATTTAATAGTATAGAATAACTAATAAAATAGGATTTTTAATTGTGTTTAGACAATTAGACTCTATTATTCTATATACTACTTCCGATCCGACCCAAAAAACTTTGCCCTTTCAAAAAAATTGAACCATGACTTTAATTAGTATAGAATTATGAAATTAATAAATTTTATACTTTTATGAAAGTATTTTTAACAAAGAACATTTTCATATAATTTTCATATATAATACTTCGTATTTAATATTTAATATATGTATATATAATATATAATACTAGTACTACATGTTTTGTCATACATATTATATATGTATATATATATAATATATAATACTAGTATTACATATAAAAAAATACTTCGTAATATATATTTATAATATACTTAGTATAATATATATATATATATATATATATATATATATATATATATATATAATACTTCGTATTTAATATTTAATATATGTATATATACTATCCTCCGTCTCTTTCTAATCGCAACATGTTGAATTTTACACTATTCACATGTTCTACTTTGCCTACATTTTATGTTATTATTTTATGAAAATTATTTTTTTTAAAAAATATTGTTTGATTCATCTCATTACAAATTTTCAATATCTAATTTTTAAATATTTTTTACTAATAGAGATTAAGAAATAATTACGGTCAAAGACCTGCGTTGGCAAGTGTGAAATATTGACGTTGCAACTAAAAAAGAACGGAGGAAGTATAATATATAATACTAGTATTACATATTTTGTGGGCCCCTAGTCCTGGTGGGTCCTGGGCAGCAGCCCAGGCTGCCCCTATACCAGGATCGGCCTTGGAAATGACGCAATCATGCACGAGGTTTCTATGTACACGTTTCTATGTCCAAATCACATTTTGAAAATGCTTGGTGTACACGTTTTTGGTGTACACTTTTGACACACTTGTTTGTCTACGCATACAGAATTGTCTGTATACACACCACACTCCGAAGGGTATACAAGAGTTGTATGTATACGAACAACTCTGTGTGCATTGACACACAAGTGTGCTAAAGATGTACACCAAGCAGGACTCGGTAATTTTTGTCTGGTATGTCCAAGTAATCGATTGTAGCTCCAATAGATTGATCATTAAAGGCTAGCCATAACTGACTTGTAATACTTATTCACCTAAAATGGCTGTAAACATGTGTCATGGACATCCAACACATCCACATCAATGACATCACATGCATGTCAAGGTCATGCACTCATGCGGGTGATAATGTGATATGAATAATAGATTCTGGCCTAGCTACCTTGATGCCATCATGGATGAAACATGCCATGTTGAACCGTTAATCATATGAATGCTTATTCTATATATGTATGTCAATATAATGGAGATGATTATATTCCTCATCAGGTCAAACGATCCAGATGGCATGCATGCCGATAATGTATATATATAAATATACTACTAAGTATATAAATATACTCCGTATATATATTTATATGATCATATATGAGCCAAAAAAAAGACCATATATGAGCCATTAAATTTACTCGTTTGGATAGGTGGCATAATGTACTGTATATAGCTGCCGTGCATGCATGTACGTACAGAAAGATGATGGACTGTGATCTAAATATGTGCACGGAAATGTGCCAATCTGTAATATTATTAATACGGAGTAGTAGTAGTATGTAGTTTGTTTGATGATAAGGACAGATAATCAAGGAGTACTGCAGGTGGTGGGGAATTTATCAACTTTGTTGCATCTATGGTCACTCATGATGTCTTGGATCCACTGATCCTGTTATTTACGGAGTAGTATTTAAATTTAAGATAATTTCTAAAATGGGATTAAAATCATATTTGTGAACAAAAATACATAGTAAAGTACAGATTACAGTATGACTTAAGTGGCTACGGGTACATTAATGTTAATGTCATTACTATGTATGATATCAACATAAATATAGTCACTAAAAGTTATTACTATGTAGGATATCAACATAAATATAATCACTAAAAGTTATGACGTTAAAATATAGTACATGATCTCCATTTTGATTATATATTAGGGGTATTTGCTTCATTAGAATATGGAACTTTAATTTCTAGAAATATTAATGAAATTGAATCTCATCATCATCATTATCATTACCCCAGTGTTGTAAAGGTTCTCACCTGCGGTAGGGTAAGGGAGGCCGGATGTACGCAATTTTATTCCTGTACTAAAGCACAAACAAACCGTTTCCAGATGACACAAAGTGAAAAATGCGTCCAAAATTGCATGAATTGACTCCTGCTTCATAAGAAAGAAATGCAGACAATTTAGTTAGTCATTTTGCTTTATTCCATCATATTCATAATGAAATTGAATATAAAAAAAATAATTTGACCAAAAGTATAATGTGTCATGGTCGCTATTGCGTAAAATTGAACATAGTCATATATAGTCAAAGTTACTAATTTAATATAATCATTACGTATACAAGAAGTCACATTTTTGTTCACCGTCTATATTCTAATAATGTATAAGTCATTATAGCTAGGAGTAGTACATTTTTTAGATAGGTGTATCGATGTTTCCCCCAAAATATAGGACCCATTACTCATATTTTGTCAAGTTTTTGTGGTTATATATTATTTAATAGGATTATATAAGTCTTCTTTTGGAAAGAAAACGTATACTTAGGCATATTTTAGAAATTTATCCATACTTTTCTTATATTTTGAATAATTCTTATTGGATTCAATTTATTCACTTATTTTGTTTGGAATATCTATAATACCTGAATTAGCTGTTAATTGGGATGTATTAGATATTTTCCGGAAATTATTATTTTCACTTGAATTTATTACTACGTCCTGTACGTCCTTTGCTTAGCTTGTTGCCAGTTCAATCCATGATGAACTATGCCACCGGAGAACCACCCTTTATAGCAAGGGACCTTCCCTCCCTACCAATAACTCCCCCACCCACTTACAAATTCCTTATTTCATGGGAAACAAAAAATAACAGTGTTTCTATCTAAGAGATTAGTTAACTAACTCCAGTGCCGCAAAGGCTCCCACCTACGGTGAGGTAAGGGGGGTCGGATGTACGCAGTCTTACCCCTTTACTAAAGCACAGAGAGACTGTTTCCAGACGACTCATAGTGAAAATCGCGTCCAAAATTGTATGAACTGACTGCTGCTTCATAACAAAGAAGCGCAGACAGTTTAGTGAGTCATTTTGCTTTATTTCAACATATTCTCAAGTCAAAAATATAATGAATCTTTGACTCCATTGCAAATGATGGAAAGATCTAACTTCATAAGATAAATAATTAAAATCTTATACGGAGTATATATGGCAAAGAGCATGAGACAATAATAGGTTGATACATGATCGATTAAAGTGATGCATTACGCCTAAAAACTAGAAATAAAAAACTAACAATTCATTTTAAGATTCTTTATTCTATGCGTTAGTTAGGATGATTGTGGTAGTGGACTCTAATTTGTAATCGATCTTTCTTTTATTATACTAGCTCCTAAAATATATATATATAGGCATCAATATTATATTAACTCACAAAGTATGTTGCGCCAAAACGTAACAAATATTGAGAAACATGAAACGCCACCTCATA